TTTTACTAAACCGCTTTGAAAAATTTGGTTTACGAAACGCTTATGGAACAAAATCAGTAAACATTTTTATATTTCAATCGTATTTAGGCAACAGAAGTTGAAGTAGCGTAACTGCTTTCGCAAGTTCCCAGCAATGTCTGTCGGATTAGTGCTACCGTGTACTGTCAGCTTCATGCCCTTGGATAAACTAAATTAAAGAAGCAGTCATCGCTTCATGCCATAACCTTACTTATCAATGTTCTGATGTAAAAAATCACTAAAGTTGAATTGCATTGTGTAGGTAGCTTTTTAAGTGTTTTTCACGTTAGTGAAATATTCCATAACTGCTTTTCTTTCAGAAGAACATGCGAAGCGCTCATTTTTACCCTGGTCATGCTGTCGTAGACCTTTTTCTTCAACCTCTGGATGGAGTATGTCTTTTTAAACGATTAATTCGTTTAACACTGAGACCACTCAAGCTAGTAATATTAGACATACCTGTTAAAAGAGTTTAGCAGATAATAGAGGATCAGTTACTAACGTGATGCAAAATGAGAGATCTAAACTCTCGTTTTTTAGCCTTACATCGAGCGAGGAAAAAGCTGTTACGAAGTAGCCCTTCGTAAAAAACTGATTCTTGGTGACGTAATGCTCATTAGTGGACTTTCTTATAAAGAAGGGATTGATGTTGTATTGTTTCAAGAAAAAGGAGGCGATGTTCTCTTGAACCTGACAGAATCCATGTAAGATTTCTGCTTTCTTCTTTATTATGCTGGTGCAGTGCATCATTGTGTTTTCATTACAAGCTTTAGCTATAGAAGGTGTATACAGGTTTTCCGTGACCCTACTAATTGCCTAGTAAACGTGGTATTTAACTGACGTCAAGCCAGAAACTTGGTTGTTGCCTCAAAAGTGTTCTTATTTTGGCTGGTTGCTGAGACCTGGCTTTAGACATAAAAAACCTGAAGTAGAGCCTGGAAAAGTCATTTTTTCTTTCAGAACATTGCTTTATTCAATCAGGGCGCTTTTCACTTCTTTTAACTTTGTTAGTTGCAATCAAGAGAAAGAGAAGTTGAAAAGTTTTGGGATATTAGCTGAACGGGTTTTGCGATTTGACGTAAAATCGACGTAAAAGTTTATCGTTTACCAAGTATTCAGGCTTATTTTACTCATTTTAAGTTTTCTACTGTTTTTTAAATACGTTGAAAGGTCGCGAACGAACCTAAATAATAATTACGCTCTAACGGCGAAGATAAATATTAATAAATGTAACAAAGTATTTACTCTAGGAAAATATGAAAATTAAAGTGCATTCGATAAACTATGATTTTCTCCTCAACCTGTGAAGTATTAGAGCGAAAACGTGTCAAACCCTAACGTATATTTTGGTCAATAGAGTTTACTACTTTTTTCCGTGAACAGGCTGAAGGAATAGCGTCTCATCTAAGTTAGTATAAAACTAATTCTAGGCCTTTTATCAAAGCTACGGGATGAAGTCTTTTTTAGTTCAGTCTGAAACAGTGCTTGACTCACAGAGTGTTGTAAGCAACCGTGCCACTTTTACACACCACAGCACCAAAAAAGCAACAAAATGGCAGTTGCAGACTGAGCCAAAAAGTACAATCTTTTAAGCTGGAAGACCGGTGTCAGTGCGAAAGCCTAAGAAATATTAGCGAACAGTAGACTGCTTAAATTTTACTGTATTTGTGCGAAAATTAGAAATGAGACTCTATTGAAGAATGTGTAGTTATTGTTCTAGTTTAATCCAATGACAGTGATATATATATGGGCGCCGTCATTTCTAATTTCCATTTCGTGGCA